GGACCATTTAAAGAAGACAGAACAGGAGTCGCTCTCAACCTGAGCAACTGACAATATATCATTGGTTGTCCAGCTTTGATTTGGGGAAGAAAACAACCCTATTTCCCCACACCCTCTTGGGGAAGCATTTGTAAATTTGTCCGGGGCGCGCATGCGTTTGCTCGTGAGCCAGCCGGCCAGTCCAACGAAGCCTTCCGCGGCATTGCGTCGCGGGCGCAGGACTGAACCCGACGATGAGTCGAACCAGACGGATTTTTGGGGGTTGTCTCCCAAGTGATCCGGATTCCCTAAACGGGACCCCCAATCAAGTCCTTCATGGCTTTTAGGCTGGATCCTTGGACTGTAACGTTTTGGGAAACAGTGGATTTTCCATTGGACCCACAAAAACTTAAAACTTTTTGCAGAGGCGTCAACGGCAACCAAGAATGAATTTTGTTTTCGACTCCAGGCGTTCCCTTCGCAAGCGTTCTCAGTGGACTGCATGTTGCAGACAGCTGCGCAGGAGTCAGTTGCAGCCGCCTACAAAGGCGCGGCGAAGTCAGTCGAACTTGCGCTGATCTTCAAGGGGCAGTGTCTCAAGAGTCAGTTCGGTCCAAGTCCAAATTCGCCGACTACCAAATGTTGACCTTATATGAATCAACCCCAGCGTAGTAATATAGGGGGTGTCCCTGGTTTTAGTCACCCCCTATCAACAAACAGGGGTTGATTTTTATGTGGCGCCAACATTAAGTGGCAGGTGAAAGGGAAACAAACCGCAAAGTGGATTTGTGCATCCACAGTATGTCAAGCATCAAGTCAAGACTTGAGGTTTCAAGAGATTCACGAGAGAGCCCAAAGGGCTCAAATTTCCGGAGCTAGATGTTTTTCCTTTCGGGACCGTGACAGACCTTTGCATCTGGAGGTGTTCAAGATGCCAGAGATCACTTGTGCCAAGCGCTAAAAGAAGGCCGGGAGCGCAGACCAAATGCGACACTTGCGTCAAACTCTAGGCAGCTGGCTGCGCTCTTTTTTTGAATTGACCCCCTTTTGGGACACCAAAGGCACACCGTAAAATTGGGGGGAGGGCCAAGTGGACAGTAACCCTAGTTGTAGCCCATGTACCATGGTTGTAAGTCCCCCGTTGCCATCAAATCCGAGGCCTGCCGGCCAAGCACAGCGATGCATTGGTGCAGCTCGCTCGCTTCATTGGCAAGTGGCCCACTGCCAAACCCCCTCCGGTTACCGGTTTTTGACCGTTTTAGTAGTGGGTTCTACTGCAGTGGCGGAAAAGCTTGCATGAACCTTGTATCGCTGGATTCGCTCAGTAGGTTTTTCAGTTGTGCGTATTATGGCGGTCATTCATGCTTGCGCACTTTGATGGCTAGGCAGTCGAGAAGCCGCCAATGTTCGGCATATTGCAAGCTGTTGCTGCGGAATCTCGCTGGAATCATGGCATGTGTTGGAGCTTCTTCGACGGCATGATGCAATTGCATGGTCTTAAGGAAGAGAACCAGACTCTTTGAGGAAAAAAGGCATATATGTCGCATATCTGTCGTGGTCAGCTCAAATGATCCGTTAATCTGTGGCTGCCCATTTGTGTGTGTGTGTGTGTACTGCTATTGCTCAGGGCTGTGGGAAATGAGCACTTCTGTGATACAACAAGAAGGGCGTAACCCCAAAGCCCAGCCCCCCATATAAAAGGGGGGAGATTCCCTTGTATCACAGCAGTGGTCGGACGAACCCCGAGTGAACCAACAACCCTGCCGGTTGTTTGTATGTGTGTGTGTGTGTGTGTGTGTGTGTGTGGTACGTACTTCTATGTGTTTCCGGAATTGGCACTTGCCTAGGTATAACCCATTCGACAATGACCTGTGCTTCAAGCAGAAGCCAAGAAATGACAGCCATGCTGCGCATGATCGCAAGGGCAAGGCGGGCATGCTAGCCATGGTCAACATTTACATGTAGTGTCATTCACTGGTAGCAGGATGACATAGGGCACACTCACCAAATTACCCTCAGGAAAAGGATGTGAACCTTCATCATTCGGGCACAATGCACATTGGTTATGGCTCTTGTCAAAGCATGTCAACTCCTCGATCGGCCCTGCTTTTGAAGCAGGGCAAGCCAACCTAAGACACGTGTATTGATGGGGCGTCCTGTTGTCTCGCTACCCGAGTTTCTGGACTTCGATACTCCTTGAAAAAGTGTGTTTTTCTTGGTTGCAGGGAATGCTGCCAAACCTCCCAGCCATCGCAGCAAGTACTGAGAAGCAATGGTCATATAGTCTTTGTTTCTCGTATAGCTGTTCGTTTTGAGAGGGAACGGTCCCAAGAGGAAACTGATCTTCCAGGCACTGCCATGTTATCGGAAGGCTAGGGGACCTCAAGTGGACATGAGGTTCCGATTCGTTTTGAGGCCAAGAAGGACCGCTTCACCACAAAGAAGCTTGAGGAGCCGGGGTCGGGTAGGTGTTGGTTGCAGAATCTGTGAGAATTAGACGCATTGCGACCCCAAAAAGGGAAAGAAGAGAAGAGGAGGTGGGCTTTAAACATATTCAGATGGAACAACGTGCGAAGGGAATCCAAGGTTCAAAACCATCATCCCAGTTGTGGGTCTCGTTTCGTCTTCCCCAAAAGAGGTCACTGTCACTGTTGCGGGTCCAACAACTTCAAGGGTGGATTTCAATTCATGGCTTCCTGTTCCAAGCGGTTGGTGTTTGTCGGTTCAAACCTCCTAGACCTCCCTTAAAAGGACGCCGATTTCTACCTTTGACCCACAAAAATGGGGGTACAAAGGCCCACAAACCAGGTATTCCACGAAGGATTTTGGTCCAGGCTCCACAGGGCTCTTCTGGGTGCCCACCTGCTACCGAGTTGGTCTGGGACTTGGCTACACGCTTACGGTGACGACATTTTTTTTATGTGGGTGCCGGGCCTGGGCTTTTGGGCTGGAAGGTAGTGTTTGACATCTGTTGTTTTCGGATATTTAAAGTGGCTGGCCGGGCCACCCTCACGGGCCCTGGAGGTAGTATGAAATACCAATTAAATGGCAACACCGAGACAGACCCCTTCCACGTAAAAAGCAGGGCGTAACACAATTCAAGCTCTTGCTAGCAGCTGCGTTGCGCTAGCTCCTGCCAAGCCAGGTCAGATTGCACAGGTCCAACCTAAGGCGCCATGTCGGTGCAGACCTATGCTTTCGTAACTCCATGCTACATAAATGCCTGGCATTGCGGAGCTAAGTGCGCTGAATTGACCTGCCCAAGCCCTGTCTACGTGGCTCGTGGAGAAAGAAAGCAAGAAGGACATGAATGCCCCTTGTCTCGGAGGGGGCACACACACATTGCCTAAAATTCGTGAATCTCCTGGTTTCTTGGGATGGGGCCTGTTTTTCAACAAATCCCAGAACAACCGACTGGCTGCGGAAGATGTAACTTGTAACAAACAGCAAGCAAGTTGACAAGGCGGGCCGGGCCAGAGGCAGGCTTTCAAGACGTAACGCAAAATACCTATCTACATCGGGAAAAAAGTTGGTCGGCCGGGCTGGCGGTACCGCTGGCGGAGGTAGTGTAAAATCTTTGTTGACCTTTTAAGTGTCCGGGTGTTTAAGTGGCGGCACCGTAGCTTTGCCCTAATTTTTGGGCGGCGTAGAACCATAAGTGGATTGCGTTCAGGGCAAAGCTAACCACGCGATTCCTCCCAGACCAGCCAAGCAGCGGCCTTGCGGAGGCGGCTCTGAGCGCGTATCTGAGCGCGGCGAAGCGCGCGGAGCTCGCGGTGCAGCAGAGCTTGGAGCAGCTCTGTGATGAGCTGAGCGGTGCCTCGGGCTGATTTGGACTCGGATTTCTTGCGGCGGTTGACCTGTTTTGTTCTCGTCCTTTTGTTCTTGTTTTTTTTTTGGGGGGGGGGAGGTTGGTTCAAAGTAGAGGGAAGCTGCGGTTTTCTTTGGTGTGTATTTGTTGATATTTTGTTGGTCGGTTTATGTAAAGGGACGCCAAAAGGAAGAACATCAATTTTGAGGGACACCTGGAGTCTCCATGACTCTTTGAAACTGCGGCCATGAAGCCTTTTGGCTGGATGCCCCCCTGTTTTCTGATTGACACATGTAAGGCCGCGAAGGGTCCAGCCATCAACCGACAGGCATATTACAGCAACCAAGTGGGTGTGGCCCGTTTTTGTGAGGGACCCCTTGGTTGGGCTGGTTTGAAGGGAAACCAAAAGGACACCAACATGCTTGGGGTTCCCTATGTTGACACACACACACACACCCGGGCAATTACAATGACAAGGCATACAATAATGTCAGGGGCTGAATGACTACTAATATCGTCCTGGGGTTTCGACGACCTAGTTTGGTTTGAACATCCCCTGCAACCCCATTTCAATTTGAGCCAAGGGCCAAGGGGTCCCCTAGAAAAAGGCGCACCCCATGCAATTCCAGCCGCTAAATATATGCTGCCAACCTGCCCGTTCGAAGGCCACGTGTCAGCACTTCGTGGCACAGTGGCTGCCGCCGAGCTGCTGATGACTGCGCACGCACACGCGTCTCATGCTTCCAGAACCTTGGCTGGCTGGCTGGCTGGCTGGCTGGCTGGCTGGTTGGTTGGTTGGTTGGTTGGCTGGCTGGGTGACCCGTTGGCCGGTTGGCTGGTTAGCTGGTTGGCTAGTTGGCTGTTTGGCTGGTTGGCTGGTTGGCTGGTGGATGCAGGCTACATCCACATCAGAGTGTATCTCTGGTTGAACGCGTCCTTTTGGGGTGCTTGACAAGCAATACTGGGAAACCACCCCACCCCTTTCAGGTTCCCTCATTCAAACACACACCCTGGCCTTTGCTGTTTCCTTCCCTGGTATCACCACCGAGGACTTGGCTGGTGCTTGCCAGAGCTCAACGGCACGAAGCTGCAAGCCACCATTGCACCATATTGGAACCTCAGCTGAGATCTGCGCAGCTCTTGGTCGTTTTGTATCCTTTTGTCCTCTACGAGCCGGGAGTTTCTTGTTGTTTCTTGTTTTGTGTTTGTCTCTTTTTGAATGCGGGTACTTATTTTTAAAGGGTACCGTTTTTGGTTGGTTCAAATGGACACTAAAAGGAACACTACCACGTTAGGGTTCCCCTATTTGGACGACACATTTGTACCCATGTTTGTGTTTTGTCTTCTCTTATTTGCCTTCTGCACCGCCCCTTTAAAAACAAATAGTTTTCCGACCCACCAGAGATTTCGTCCCTTTTAACGAAAAGTAGTCCAAACCAGGACCCTGCAGTCAGGTTCCATGGCAACGTGCGTGGACGTAAGGTATGTGTGGTATTCTTCCAAGAAACCAGCTACAGGAACATCTATCTACCAGAAATCCTTGTTTGTTGGTGAGTAGTATTTGGCCAATTGTTTGAGCAATGTCCAGTAGACTCTAGAAGAATATGTGGCTGTGGGTCAAGAATAGGTCTCCAGCATGACTTGCCCTGGTAAAGGGAACCAAGTTGACTAAAGCGGTCTCCTAGTGGTTTAACTTGATGGTGCTATGATGGAGTGACCCGAAAAACGCCTCATGGTTCAGGATGGACCCGGGGGACGCGGTGTGGTCGCATGTGGATTTGGACCTCTGCGGCGCCATCGCCACGGGGCCCAACATGTCGGGCAAGAGCACCCTGATGCGGGCCATAGGACGGGGAGGGTTGGGAGGGTTGGGAGGGGTTGGGAGGGGTTGGGAGGGGTTGGGAGGGGTTGGGAGGGGTTGGGAGGGGTTGGGAGGGGTTGGGAGGGGTTGGGAGGGGTTGGGAGGGGTTGGGAGGGGTTGGGAGGGGTTGGGAGGGGTTGGGAGGGGTTGGGAGGTGGGGGGATTGTGGGTGGTGGGGGTGGGGGCGATGCATCAATCAATGTTCCAGTTGTTGGGGCCCCCAGTTCTGACCAGTGGTTGTTTGTCCCATTTAGTGGGAAAATATCAAATCTGTTTAGCGGTTGTCCAGCCAATGGTCATCCCATGTAAAGGACCGTTTGATCAACTCCAGGTGGGGGGATGGATTGGGGGTGGTGGGAGGTGGGGGTGTTGCTTCAAGACAGGAAGGATTGGTATATACTTCAATCCACAACTACTTGGTAAGCGGTAGCAATCGGCTGACGCGTGTTTGCTTTAAGGAGCGCTATTCACTTGATGCCCAATCTGGCTAGCACAAAGTGGCTGAAAACTGGCAGAGGAGTGTGCTTGCCTAGGCAGCTAGTAGGGATATGCTTGTTTGGCCCCATGCTTTCAGGCAAGCCACTATAGTGGGTAACCAGGCGGTTCCTTATGATGTAAAACCTAGAGGAAGCCATACCGAAGGATTACCTACTATAGCGGCGGAACGCCTGGAAGCACTGGGTAGAATCCCAGACAATCCATGTAATATATGCAGCCAGCCAGCCAGCCAACCAACCAACCAACCAACCAACCAGCCAACCAACCAACCAAATTCATCAATCCATCCATCCATCCATCCATCCATCCATCCATCCATCAATCAATCAATCAATCAATCAATCAATCAATCAATCAATCAATCAATCAATCAATCAATCAATCAATCAATCAATCAATCAATCAATCAATCAATCAATCAATCAATCAATCAATCAATCAATCAATCAATCAATCAATCAATCAATCAATCAATCAATCAATCAATCAATCAATCAATCAATCAACCAACCAACCAACCAACCAACCAACCCACCAACCGATCGATCGATCGATCGATCAATCAACCAATGAGTCAACCAATACATTACCTACAGTCAGATCCTCTGGGAATAGTCAATGCACCAAACGCGGGCGACGCCGCGCTTCGCCCTTCGTACCTTCGCTCGCCAGGCGCCTCTGCGCTGTTGGCGAACTGCGGCTTCCTTTGTCGCTTGGATGGGGGGGGGTTGGGGGGGTTGGGGGGGTTTGGGGGTTGGGGGGGTTGGGGGGTGTTAAGCTTTGCAGGAACACGTGGGTGGCTGTAATGACCAACCATTTTTTTAGGGTCATGGAGACTGCAGGTACCACCTTTTTGTGGCTGGCTTAAAGGGAGACCAGCAGGAAAACCACCATAATGGGCTGCCCCTAAAAAGAGACAACGTCAATATTCACTGGCATGTACGGTAGTACAGGCGATGACATTGGGGAATTGCACTCACCAGTTGTCACCAGGAAACAAAGGCTCACGGCTCTTTGCGCTAATTTGCCACGCATGGATCACTTTCTGCAGAAATGTCTCTTGATATCAACCCAGGTCCTGTGAAGCCAGGCGCGACTGTGCCGCAGTACCAGCAGGTGGTCTTCATCTCAGCGGAAGGCGAGGGCATTTTCGCGCGCACAGAGCCAGGAGTGTGACGCCAGGAGACCGTCCATCCGAGGGTGTCAGTGCGTTTGGTACCTGCCTCAGTCTTGTGGAGCCTTGAAGCTGGGCCCGTTGTCTGCTTCTCAGAAGCCCGAGCTTGTTTTGAGTCACCGGCTGGCCCAACCACAAAGTAAAACTAAACGAGGTTCAGAAGCTCATCCCTTGTGAGTTGCAGCTTTGGAAAGTTTGTTGACCCCTTGTTGAATGGGTTTGGAGCACAATGGTGTGGGTCCCCTGCCTTTCTGACACCTGGCTTGGTTCAAAGGGAAACCCAAAGAAAACCTCAACCAGGGGGTTGAGTTTCAGATCAAGGCCGCGAAGCCATGATCTCAGCCTCGCTTCTGCGGCGTGCTGGCCAGGGCACACTGGCGCTGGTGCCCTGGTGAGAAACCGAGACGTCCCGAGTGAAGATGTGCTGTTTAAAGGCTCGGGGCCAATTGTTTGGTCGGTTGCAACCATGGGTACCCCTATTTTGCTTGAAACCAAACGAAGGATATCGAGCCTCGAAAATGCACAACCACATGTTGAAGGGTTCCAAGCATGACTGTCCGTTGATGGTTTCCCGTTTGGCCAATAGCGGGTGATTTCGAGGATCTTAAGACGGACCACGACCAGTAATCATCCCCCAAGCAAAAAATGGCGCTGCCCCCGGGTCGATTGATGTGGATTTCTCTGGAGCCTCGCGGGCGTTGCTCTCGTGGCCTTCATCTTTCAAGCTTGTTCCGGGTTTTCGGCCTTGCCCCCTTGTTGTGGGTTTTTTGGGCGAAGAAAAGACGTCCTTTGGGGGGGTCCAGGTATGTGCTGGCAAGAGGTGATGTTAAAACCAAGCAAAAGGGTTGAAGATGAGGCGCCCATGTGGGCGTCCGCGTATTTTGACACACACCCATGTTAGTCTGCGGATGTTACGGTCTCTAAAAGTTGAACCACCCCGCAGACCCAAATACCCTTTGCGTGTATGTGTGTATTGGTTGCACGTGCAACCCACTTCGCGGTGGGTTGTTATGGGATATCAGGGGCTGGCAGCCTTCGAATCATGGAACATCAGCAAACACTTTCTAACTTGGTGGCTCACAGCCATTCACTTAGCTTTGCAGGTTGTTAATTGGTTTAGCGGTAGGGTCCGTATTTCATCCAATAAATGTTAGTCACTTTTAGGGGGATCAGAAAACGTCACTTGTAGGGGATCTTTCCGTATTTGACTCCCTAAAAGTTTGTCACTCAGGGATCTATCGGGCCCAGCTAAGTGCCTGGAGTCTCCATGACCCTTAAAAAATGGGTCAATGACCCCATTATTTTGGGTAATGACCCCATTTTTGAAGGGTCATGGAGACTCCAGGTGAATGCTTCATCCCATTGCCGCGATCCGAATACGCGCAGGTGGACGAGTTCGGCTCTGGTACCGAGCCTCGCGCTGCCAAGGCACCGCACAAAAATTACCAAACAGAACAAAAAGAGAAGCCAAAAAGGGAAGCGAAACAAAGGTTTCCTTGAAGGTGCCTGTTTCCAAACCAACAAGCAGAATTGTTTGTTGGCACCAAAGACAAGCAAGAATTCAAAGAAAAAGGGAAGCATGAACTTCCAGCGAGTGGAGCGTTTCTGGAGATTTTGCCACGTTCCCTCCTTCACTTCCGAGTTGAGATGGTTTCAGGAGAAACACGCATAGGAAGTCCAGGAACTCACGGATTGAGCTCAAATATGAGACAAGCCTTTCTTGTTTTTTCAGGAGCCCCAGGTGCTTCTTCATTTTTTGACTCGTCAGGCAGCGGTTTGCGCACTCCTCGAGGAACTCTCCGCGCAAAGCACGCAGCGCCTGGGCTTGTTGTGGAGCAACCCAGGGGGGTCCCCAAGAGGATGGACAAGGCTGTTGGGCTCTTCTGTTTGGATTTGGCGGTTTTTGCGATTGTGTTGGGTGTAGTTGTCTTTGAGTGTTGTTGGTTTTGTCGTTGTTTTGGACATGGCGTCTCAGAAAGGATACACACAGTCTCAAAAGAATGGAACTCCCACGGTGCCCAACTCACCCACCCCATTCGGTTCCAATCAATCCGCAAGATCCTCATGCTGCTAGGTGGTAGTGGTGTCCCTTTGAATGCTCTCGCACTTTGGGGTCCCACTGATTTTAACATCCCGTTGAGACGCAGTGTCGATGTTTATTCAACTGCCCCTAGAAAGGTTCTCAGAACCCTTCCAACAAATTCTCAGAAGGATCTAAGAATCCATCCTGAGAAAGGCCTAGGTTTGTCCCCTGCCATTTATTTTTGGTTTCCAGCTTCCCTTTTCGGGCGGCTGAGCTGGAAATGAGCCGAGCTCAACTCCAAGGTCCTTCACTGGAGGTCTCCCTGAGTTTCCGGCTGAACTGTAGGGCCTAGGAAATGTGGAAAGAGTCCATAAGGTCGTTTGGAGGAATCGCGGGGCTAGATGCCGCCATGGCCAGGGGGGGAATGTTGAAATTCCCTTTCCACAAGGAGCAAATTCGTGAAGCATGGAAAGCTGTGAAGCATCGGTGCGGTTCCCCCCTCTCATGGCCAGAGGGTTGGTGAAGCATCGCCCCCTCTCATGGCCAGAGTGTTGAACTTAGGTTCGTGGTGGCCACTCATCTCCACGACATTGTGGATGTGGACCTCAGCGGCGCGGCGGAAACAGAAAACAAGAACCGCATGTCGCCGCCTTCGAGCCTTTTGTCTGGCTGAATCCGTGGTCAAACAAAAAAAACGCCTTAGTATGGATGCACCCCCAAAACGGGTGGCTTCCGTTTGGTTGCCCTTCACCATCCAACAATGGCCCCCCAATTTTGAAGCTGCGTGAATGCTGAAGGATTTTGAAGCTGCTTGCATGGCATGTGGGTGATTTGAAGGGTACCTGGAGTCGCCATGACCCTTCAAAAATAGTTGGTCATTATCCAAAATAATGGTTGGTCATTGACCCATTTTTTAAGGGTCATGGAGACTCCAGGTACCCCTTTTCAGGTTGGCTGGGAAGCAAAAAGGAGAGCCTTTCGAATCAATCGTTTTGGGGTTTTGGGGTCCCAGAGGCCTTTCTTGACACAGACCCGTGTCCTTGTGCCTGAGGTTTGTCAAGGATGACTACTACCATAGTTTCCCTCCCAACATAGAAGTCCACAACTTGATCCCACTTGGAATAACACTTATATAAATGAGGATTGACCACGACCCGTTGGAAAGTGCTGCCCTGCCACAAACATGGAAGTGCACAGACAGACCCCTTTTGGAAATGCAACTATATGTATACTGGAGGATTTCATGCTACCATAGCATACCATGCCATAGCATGCCATAGCTACCCAATGTCGGAAAACACAAAACGCATTCCCTTCGCCTGCAACTGTTCCGAGGATTGGATGGCAAGGCGCAGCCCATCGCGTGGCGCATGGGTATGAAGAAGACCGGAGGGCCTCCTGGTATGCAAGTAAGCTGCCAAGTTGTTACGGGTATCGGATGTAGGTCCGAGCGACTTGGGAATCCAAGTATTTTTGTTCAGGTTTTGAAATTATTGCAAACATGGGTTTCTTGTGGGCCGTACCTGAACCCCTTGTGGGGTGTCGCTCGGGGTTCCACATGTGTGCTTGGAACTAAACGAGGACCCGATGTGTCCGATGTGTCCCATGGCAAAGGCCAACCAGCCACTTGGACATCCCTTGAAACCAAACCCCAGGCCGCCAAAGGGTCAAAGCGCATCACACGGTAAGGAACCCTTACCCAGATGCTGGCAGGCAAGTCACTACAGTCGGTAATCCTGCGTTATGACTGCCTCTAGGTTTGGCATCATCGTTCCTATGGTTACCTACTATAGTGGCTTGCCTCCCTGGTGTTGCTCCCCGAACGGAAGCTCCTGTCTTGGGAAATGGCGCGACCGTTTTGGCGGCTTCACATCTGAACACCAACCCGTGGCCAAGTCGAGTCTGGAGGTTCCCGGTCTGGACCTACGCCTTGGAGCTGGGCGTGTGCCGGGACTCCTTGGCCGCCCACACCTTGGAGCACTTCGGGTGGCCGGCGCGGGCCCTCGGCCGCTTCCAGGCGCTGCTGGCGCCGAACGCGGCGCAGTCGGAGGTGGAGACGAAGGAGGGGGGGTGGAAGCGATTTCTGTGGGGGTGGGTGGGTGTGGGTTGGGGGGTGGGTTGGGTGAGTTGGGTGGGGTGTGGGTTGGGTGGGTTGGGGGGGTTGGGGGGGTTGGGGGGGTTGGGGGGGTTGGGGGGGTTGGGGGGGTTTGGGGGGTTGGGGGGTTTGGGTGGTGTGGGTGTGGGTTGAGTGGGTGTGGGTTGAGTGGGTGTGGGTTGAGTGGGTGTGGGTTGGGTGGGTTGGGGGGGTTGGGGGGGTTGGGTTTGGGGGTTTGGGGGGTTGGGGGGTTTGGGTGGTGTGGGTGTGGGTTGAGTGGGTGTGGGTTGGGTGGGTTCGGTGGGTTCGGTGGGTTGGGGGAGTTGGGTGGTGTAAGTGTGGGTTGAGTGGGTGTGGGTTGAGTGGGTGTGGGTTGGGGGGGTGTGGGTCAAGGGGGTTGGGGGGTTGGGGAGGGAAAGGGTTTGGGTTTGAGGGCGCCCTTTCATCAACTTGTTCATGCTGGTTTAGAGGCCAAAAAGGAAAGCAGCCATTTGTGGGGGGGGGCGCCCGAATTGAGAACACACCCCGCTTGGGTTTCGGGTTGCGGTTTCTGTGATACCAAGGGAATCCACTGTAAGGTGAGTTGTTGGCAATCAACCGCTTTGGTATCACAGATTTCAGGGCCCGCTATCTGCGGGTTGAAGCAATTTGAACACGGGGTTGGCAGTGTTTCGGGGCTTAAACATTATACCTGGAGTCTCCATGACCCTTCAACCATGGTTGGTCATTACCCAAAATAATGGTTGGTCATTGACCCATTTTTAAGGGTCATGGAGACTCCAGGTACGTGTGTACTACGTTGGTTAAGTTTCCTTTGTGTTTAAACGAGGCATAAGGACCCGGTTTCGCCCAAAGGTGACTTGCCCACGTTCGCCTGAAGCTTAACCCTCTGGGTCGTTTGGGCAAGCGAGGTGTTGTTCTTGACCCAAAGGGTCAAAGTACCTCAGATTTGCCAAATTTGAGGAATCTGTAATACTGCAATCGACAAATCCCCTTCAACTAAACCCAAACCGTTAATATTGGGTACTTGGACCCGCTGGGTTAAACGGTCAGAAGATATTTGAGTAGCTTCGTTTGAGGACATGCGTGTGTTGTCTTCTTTGGGAGAGAGGCGAGAGTTAAAATTGGGCGCTGGCTCAAATCGCGGATTCAGGAACGGCCATGTGGGTGTTGCTCCAAGTAGGGGAACGAACCCCAAATGGCTTGTTTCCTGTAGATTTCACTTTAAAATCAACAAACTATGTTTCGTGAGAGCCCCCCGTGAAACTCGCCTACTGTGATTTGGGGGCAGACCATTTTTGGGCCGCAAATTGACCATCCAAGAGCTGTCTCGCAGCTGTTTGCTTGGCAGAGCCAGGCTGCGATTGAGTGCTTGTACTTGTCCCGCAATGATGATTTTTGTTGATGTCGTGGGTCTTTCGGAAGCCAATTCTCAGGACCCGAGTGGTTCTCCGAACGCCCCCGAGCCGGAGCCGGAGCCCGCAAAGGAGCCGGAGCTGTCGGAGGCGCGGTTCCATGTAGCTGCCAGTGCTTCCATTGCTGTGCCACTGTAGCAGATAAGGGGAAATCATAATTTGAGATAGAGGTGAAATACTACCTCGCTGCCTGCTAAAGCGGTAATTGGAGCGGTAATTGGAATCACTGGCTGAGCTTGGACAGTTGGCGTTTGATTGTGCCGATGGAGGCATCGAGCGTCGACTCCGTAGAAGCAGTCACTGAGATGATGGCGGCACTCAAGGTAGGCGCCTAAGTGATCCGTTCACGCTGATGGCTTTTGGGTTCCTTCCGTTGATCTACACGGGAGTAGATCACTCATTCATGTGGTGTTGTTGTTTGCCGGAGGAACATCACTCAAACTATCTCAAACTGGGAATCTGAATTGACCTCGTATGATTCTTGGGACGCGATTCGGAAAGACAGAGCTCCCACAAAAGCTGCACAGTGCTTCCAGGTGTCTCGCCACTATAGTTGGCAACCTTTTGGTATGAATCGCTACCTCTAGGTTTTACATCATGGGGACACCCTGGTTACCTACTCCAGTGTCGAAACGCCAATCGGAAGCACTGGACAGCTTCAGCGGAGCCAAAATAAGCAGCCTCAGAACTGGGCCTATGGGGTATGTTGGGTCAGGGCCTTTCCGATTTTCCCCCTTTATCAGGATCAAGCATTGCAGTGGTATGGTCATTCGAAGAGTTGTCTTTGTTGAATAGTGCATTTTTTGGGGTGGCCGCCTGAAAATGGGTGGTTTACTTTCAGTGCCCCTTTCAAAGCGCCAGCAAGGGGTTGCCTTAGCGAAAGGTCGCGCAATGTGCGGTGTGGAAGCATATTGGTTTGCGTTGATTGCCGTTTAAAGCCACCAACACAATGTTTTGGGGGACAGCCTGCCCCCTCCCCGCGCCGCTGAAACACAACACACCCCCTCGGCGAAACTGAAATTAACCAACACTGGGATATTTTTTTTGGGGGAGTTGGGCGTGTATCTTTGTTTTGAGGGTTTAAAGTTTAAAGAGAAACCAAAAGAAGGCGCCACAATTTTGGGGTCCCCTAGTTCAAGCAATACGCAGTTTCCACCGAGCTTAAGTCGTGAACAGCCCTGCTTGACTTTTGTGAGGATGAGAGCGATGTCCTGCTGCTGCAGCCGCAAGACATGCTGCCGGCACCGCTGTGCGCAGGAAAAGCGGTGCTCTACGCTTTGCTCCTGAGCGGCCGGCTATACATAGGACGGAGCCGAATGGAAAGCCATGCCTTCTGTTGGCGACATGTGGCAAGATCACACGAGCTCACTATGAAGATCCTTTGGGGGATCCCGTATTTCTGGTTCTGGTTTGCTGGAACATTGCAAGATGTGCTGTGGACAATGGCTGGGTTTAGGGCAGGCCACACATGTAAAAGCCACAACTTAGAGAGTGGTTTTTGAGAATGACCCCCAGACTTAGACCTCAAAGTGTCCCCTGTTGTTGAACTCAGCTTCCTCCAAAGATGTGGCCATGGTTATGGACAATGGCCGGTTTAGGGGAGGCCACTTTCTGTGAGATTTCCCCAATCATGACAACCCAGTCATGCGGATGGTCACCTGTTGCATTGCTTTTGGGGTGGGAAACCCCTTCAAATCATCGCCTGTAATGTTGAGACGATGTGTCTATAGGAGGGGAACATGATGGTTTCAGTGCCATGTTTGGTGACACCAAATGAATTCCATGAAACACACGTTGTCATTGAATGTCACTGGTTATACATAGGAACGGGCCACATTGTAACGAGCTCACCGATCCGAGGGTAGAACGAGCAACTCTGCCCATGATGTTGGTCCATCATTTATTCAATTTCCTTTCCATGGTACCGGGTATGAAACAACTCAAAGGAATGTTGGAGGGTTCTCGGAATGTAGGTGAGAGGAGGTCCGACATGTCAGCTTTGAACAAATCGGGGATCGCTTCAGTATACGTAGGAAGTGGTTCCGAATTACTGGTACTAAGAAACCAGCTACATGAAATTCCACGATTCAAAACCCATAGGATATTTACGGAAATCCTGATAGGGGGTGATGTTTGTCTTGTACCCCTTTACCCCCAGCGGCTTTAGACGCAGAGTCTTCAATGATGTACGTAGTGTTTGGCCAAGCAAAGTTCAAGGAACTCGGACACAGAACAGCGAGACAAAGTGGCTGGCAGTCTAGAGGTGAAGCGGCCCTCCCAAATTTGAACCACACAAACCAGCCTACCCAATTCTCCGATGTTCTCTTGGGAAAGCAGGTAGTTTGTGTTGTTTTTGTTCTTTATTTCTGGGGCTGATATGTGGCATGACCTTGGTACTACGGCAGGCAAGCGTTATAGTTCAGGTGAATGTACTCTTTGGATAATGGGTGCAAAGGCCTGCATGGTAACAATCACGAGCATGACCTGCGCACAATGAATTCGACCTTGGCACATACCGTAGATGGAGATGGCAGGCCCGCGTATTCAGTGCATGGACAAATTTATGCGACACTTTGAAACCATGAGAAGCCATTGGTCGCTGCTATTTACAGGGGGATCATCATTCCAGGGTTTCTTAGGTGGTGCAGGATTTCGTCCATCCACAGTGGGGTTTCATACAGTCCAGCTTGTGAGGGATCTGCCTGCCCATCCACTGTAGTTATGTCATCCGAATTTCACAATTAGTTGAAGAGAGACTAACAGGACACCAACTACTTACAGAAGGGGAAGGCAGCTCAAAAGTACCATTAGGCATGAAGAAATCGCTAAAGCACGACTTTCGTTGACTGCGCAACACTGCTCTATTCCTGATTCCTGAGTATTTTACTGGATGCTGAATGACCCAGACTTGAGTTTCCCAAACAGGATCCACACATGGACGGATATTTGTTAGACTTGTCTAGACCCCTACAAGGACAAAGCGACAATATGCAGCAGCGACTGCGACAGCACCGGCAACGCTTTGGTGAGCGCTTGGAGGGGCTGCTGCTACTTCCCGTGGCAACTCGATGAACACGACCTGGGTGTGGCTCAAAATTAAACAGGAGGGGTTACGCAGGTTTTGGCCCATGTTTCCACTTGCCAGGGTTCCATTTTGGTACCGGTTTTTTGAGCCACAGCCACCTGGCTTGGCCCTGCTTTCTCGACTCCCGGGCTGCTTTGGGGAGTCCACCCTGCCGCCCCACACTACCAGCACAAGCTCCAGAATGCCGCCCCACGCTTTTTTCCCAATGGTTTGCGGCTAGGGGATCTGTTTCATTAGGACCTGGCCCAAGTTCGGGTCTTAATGACTGGGTGTTAATTTGAAGCTTGCTGTTCTTGCTATGTTTTGCCACCAGTGACTGGTCTTGCGGTTTTCTGCTGGGTCGCTTGCGTACACAGCCCGTCTAAGCTCGTATTCACCGTGTTGCATCGGGGAAAAACAATCACCTGTTGTTCGGCCAAAGGCCATGATATGGGAAATTCACCATGACACACAACACCCATATCCATAATAGGTATCCTTTTGATCGCTTAGTTTGGATGGCACTGGTTGAGATGGGTTTTATTCCCCATTACCAGGGCCATCTATTTTTCAAGGCCGCCTATGCCCATACACAAAAAAAATACCATCAACCCCCAACAAACCCCAAAAACCCCGCCCTCCCCCCCCCCAAAAAAAAAAAACACAACGGCAGGGTGGGGGCGGTGATTTTCGTCCGCGCGTCGCATGAGGCCAACACCGGAGAGGCGAGGCGCCTGGAGACACGGCTCCAGCGGCAGCTGCTGCTGCGGGGCTTTGCGCTGGAGAGTTCCCAGGATGCCCTGCACAGGCGGCGAAGCAAAACGAAGATGGAGCCGTGAGCAACGGCAAATGGCTGTGGGAGACTCTCCATGACCCGAAGTAAAAATGGGTCCATGACCAACCATGTTTTTGGGTAATGACCAACCATTTTTAAATTTTAAGGGTCATGGAGCTTTTGAATTTTGAGCCACAGCCAAATCTGAAAAGAAGATCAAAGAATGACATGGGTCGATCTCAGAATTAAGGGATGGTTTCCGTTGGTTTCCAGTGGGTGGGACGAACATGTGCAGCATTTCAAATAACAAACGGGCTGTCCCTTAACGGAAATCAAAGGAAGAAAGCACCCACCGTAGCATCCGCAAGGGGTCCTGGCACAGGCACATTTGAGAGGCATTTGGACAAGTGTCCTCCAAAATTCCGAAGTCATGATCCGAAGGACACTTTTTTGGCTAGTCCCATCAGAAAGAAATGGCAGGGCACAGCAACAAAAGCCCTGACCGCAGTCTTTGCTCGGGAGGCGCGACCCTGAGTTTTGGGGATTCCAGTCTCCTTCAGGTGAAACACCCGACTGCAGCGGGGAGAATTCATCATTTTGATACAAAACATCTGGCGGTCGGTCTTTGTCCCAACAAATGCGATAGAGGAACAGTTGAACACCCACGTGACAAATCAACGGGGTTCATGTTTGCCATCCAGCCTTCCAAGCACTCAGCTTCTTGCTGTTTCCAACTTCGGAGCCTCTCAAGCACCAGGGGCATGCGCAAACGCCCGCCGCCTGGAACCAGAAATGACCCAAATGCAGCTGGGGCGTTACTTTCAGTCGGGGAGTTTCAAGAGCTTGGCAAAGCGAAGGAAAGAACACATCGAGGGACTCTGCTACTTGCAGATGCCATGTTGCGCGAGGAACATTGTGGATAGTATTGCGACACCTCTAACAATGCCTGGTTTTCAGTTTTAGAAAGGGGTTCCCTTAGCAGAATCAACTACCCTCTCTCCCACCAACATGGCACCTGACAGGGGGGGCCCTCCAAGAGGAAGCTGATCTTCCAGGTGCCTCCCCACAGGTGCCAGGTTAGTGGGAGAGAGGGTAGCACAAATCCGGGGCCTTTTTCCAAGGCCAGCGCAGGTCTGTAAGTGGGCACAATTCATGGTAACGGTTTTAGGAATATCATGAACTGCCTGTACAAGCGTTAGTGGCCTTGGAGCGCAGACTCCAGCTTGAGGCTGTATTATAACTGATAGCCCATGCACGTACGCGTTCCGCCTATGATGGAGTTGCAGTTGGGTGATCGTACACGGCACAATTCCATCATGTTGGATTAGTCCCCCCAAAGGCTGCCATCTACTTCACCCTGGTGTACATGAACTGCGGCAAATGTCAAGAAGGAAGAACGACGAAAACACCCGAGCAGCATTTTTTGTTTCAAAAGAGCGACTTCTACGCGCACATACCGAAGTTGACAAAATCTGCCAGCTCCCAGCTGGAGAATGGTCACCAAGAGGCTGTTGGTTGGATCTGCCACAATTCGTGCAAGGTGGTCAGAACAATATCACGGCCGAAACGGATATTTGACACTTGAGACGCTGACGCGTTGTTGGAGACAGGGCTGAAGTAGCGTGCACGGCCAACTCGCCTTGTTGCGTCGGACAGGAACTTCTCCGACGAGGCTGCGGCTGAGGCAGCGATTCATGAGGGCCGGGGTAGGAGTCTTTGGGCTTCTTGAATGTTCAATCATGGTGATTACTGGGATAGCTCGGGTTCAGAGACTCACAACGGGTTACAACACGCTCGTTATGTAGGTTGAACATCCAAGTTGGGTGCTAATTTCCCGCGAAAGGAATCCAACAGGAGATGGGTAGTGTCTACTCTGTGATACCCACCTATTTAGAACGGTAGCTGAGTTCCATGTTAGTAAGCGTGTACGCAGTCTTGCAGTTTGGGGAATTCTCACGTAGAGCCCTGACTGAATTCTCTACAGCAAAGGTGTGTTTTCCACACGGAATCGATCAACAAGGTCCAGCAAGCTCACTGCACGGTCCAACCGAATCCCAGCGACGGCCCAGAATCCCAGTCGTCCAGCGGCACCCTGAGATTTCCCTTTTAGGCGTGTTCCCCACTTTTCGCCATGGTCCCAGCCCAAAAGCCTTTGTCCCCCAGTAGTGCCCTTTTTAACCTTTTTTTTTGGGAAGGGTTCCCCTACTAACATAGCCTACATTAAAAAACATGGTATCCTTATTCTAACCTCTCAAATCTGGAGGACCTAGAAACATTCCCAGGAATAACCCTTCTCAACTCCGAGTCCCGGGGTGAATCGCCGGGGTTTTGTTTTGGATATTCGACGTCCCAAGGCAGAGGACGAGGCGATGCGGCTGCGGCGCATCGCGGAAGAGCTCCTCGAGATGGCCCACCGCCGCTGAGGGCTGGCGCCGGCGCTAAGCCTGCCGCGAGAGAGAAGCGGCCAAAGAGAGGCGGCAAGATTGAAGTGTTCCGATTTTTTTGGTGGTTTTGAAAGGAAAAAGAGGAGAACCACCCATCTTGGGGGGCCCCTAGAAAAAAAGATGCCCAATTGGTCCGTGCCGGGACTGTTGCAAGGCTTTGGGGAGCTAATTCAGTGCAGGCGTCGAATGGGAGCACTGCAACACAAGCAGTGCCTAAGAGCCGTCGCAACGCGCAAAATCGCCGCGCTGCTTCGTATTCCGAAAGCAGCCGTGAGAAGGCATGACTGACATGCATGACATGACACTCATGCCCTGTTGTTTCTTCGATTCACAGGCAGTATATTCTGGAACAATATATACCTGGAGTCTCCTTCTGACCCTTTAAAAATGGGTCAATTACCAACCATTATTTTGGGGTCATTGACCAACCCATTTTGCAAGGGTCAGAAGGAGACTCCAGGTAGTCTTCGCCTTGCTGCGGGCTCATTTGTGATTTGTGGCCCAGAGGCCCACTGGCTGGAGCCTTCTCGCAGGTGAAGCAGCTGAAGCCAACCACGTCAACGCGTTCCATTTCAGACCAGAGTTGTATTCTGGTTCATTTCGGGGGCATGATGGACCCATTGCCCATGTCCTCTTGGGGAAACAAGCAAGTTTGACCCATGGCTCATGTGCACTTAACAGATTGGACAAGGTAGGTGGGGAGATGTCACATGACAGCCACGAAACAGTGGTGTGGGACGTTAACTTGTTTGTGGCAACGAGCTTCGTTGGAGTCCTGAGCAGCCGAGAACACGGTCAACTGCGTGGTGTTCCTTTCCAGTGGATCCAGCAACTACAGTAGCTAACTTCATCTGGAGTTGATCAACATTCCTGGCCCCTAAATGACCATGGGTATCGTTTCCCATTTAGCGGGAAATATCATCTTTTGGGCGGCTTTGCCCAATGGTCATCCCATGTAAAGGACCTTTTGATAAACCTCCATTTTTGTTTACCTCTGCAAGTTTACATAACAGTTTCACTTGGCCTCCAACTGTAGGGCAACTGGATCTACTGGCCTGCCTTTTTGCGATCCTTCAATATTTCTTTGAACGCCACAGGGAAGCTTGCCCGGACCGCTCTGCAGTTTCACCGCTCAGCTTATGACAGTTGATGTTAGCTTTGCCCAGCTCCAGGCAGTTTGTTTCACATTTGAGACACACAGACCATGTTCGTTGCGCAGCTGCTTCTCATGAGTGAACAGCGCGACAACACACACCCGCACACATAGAAAAGACTCAACCGCCGCGCGAGCGCGAAGTGCGAAGCGCGAAGCGCGAAGCGCGAAGCAACGCGCCCTGTGCTTTGCGGCCGCCGCATGTGGAGATGTGCGCATGGAGGCTGCTTGGTGGCAACTGAACCGCGGACATTGGGCATGGCTTCATCAAGTCGTATGGGCCCAGCTCGGGGGAAACAAAAGCCTGACCCAATCCAAGGCCACCAAGCGCCGTTTAGAGATCTTCCTGGTGCCCATCCATTGATTTCAAGGGGGCTAAAGGCAGATTTGGGTATGGGTCAAAATAAAGCCACCAGGGGACCGCAGGTTTGAATCAATGGTGGCTTACTTCTATGGTTCAGGGGGCTGGCCCAGCCCTAGATATTCAAGGCATGGCGATTTACGATACTCAATTTGGTGACAACCAACCAGAAATAAATCAATAAACAAATAAATCAATAATCAAATAAATGAATAAATAAATAGTTATATACACATATATAGTATTTCCCTTTTGGGTGGTTTTTGTCCCTTTTGGGTCGTTTTAAGCGTCACCTCTTTGACCCACTTCCCTTGGTACGACGGATGTGTCCAGACGTGTCAGCCAAGGCGCCATTCGCCCGAAGGAACTCTGGTTCGCAGGCGAAGAGGGCGGAGGAGGATGAGCAGGACCGGCCGAAAGCCCGAAAGCTCAAGCAGAGGGCCCCACCGTGGATGGACAAAATCCGTTCGCGCCACCTAAGAAACCATAGGAAACCGTTATAGGGGAATCGAATCATTCCCGGGTTTCTAGGTGGTGCGAAATGGATTTCGCAACCATCCACAGTATGGTCGTGCCCTTTTTGTTTGGGGGGCCCTAAACTAGTGGTACTTGTCCTTTTTGGTTTCCCTTCAAAGACGCAACAAGGGGTCCCTCAAGGGAAAAAACATACCCTTAAAAAATGGGTCAATGACCCCATTATTTTGGGTAATGACCCCATTTTTGAAGGGTCATGGAGACTCCAGGTATATGTGTGTAGCAGTGTTGCACATCACAATGGTTGGCCTCATTGAAAGTGAGTTTCCCTTGGTAGGGGTGACTTTTTTAACGGGCAATGTATGAAATCCGGTCAAAGGGGATTTGATTGCCAGGGAGCAAGCGTTTGGACGAGTGTTTTGGACTGTGCACGTTTTAAGGCGAGATGGACAGGGAAGCTACCCAGTTCGGCATTTTGGGAGTTCCACAAATTGCAGACCAACTAAATAACAAGCCCTGCATTTGTCACTCAGCTCAAGTTGAATTCAACCTGGGACATGTGAATCTGCCTCAGGAGTGCGAGGACTATTATGACCTTCGCAAGACGCTGCCCAGATTCTACCGACTTTTTGAACATCTCAACAAAGGCATCGGAAGCGGCATTTCTATGAGGGAGTTGATCAATATTCCTGGCCCCCAAATGACCATGGCTAGCTTTTCCGGTTCAGTGGTGAACTTTTCCTGTTTGGGGAGGGGGGCGGGGACTCCCTGATGGTCATCCCATGTAAAGCACCGTTTCATCAGAAGCCATCTGTCAGTTCATGGCAGATCGCCCTTGCATATGCGCCTTGTACTGTTCTCACCCCTCACAATTTTTGTCCCATCCTTCAGTGGCCGACTGCAATCTTCGTCCGGGTCAACACGAGTTCCGCTTGTGTGGAGCTTGCTAGGGACGGTCATAGACCCCCAGTGGAATTCGACACGCCTATGGTAAGGGTCATAGGTGTGCTTTTTGGTGGTTTGGGTAGAAAAATAGAGGGGTTTCGATTCCTTGTTTACCTGGTGGTTTAATCATCTACCAGGGAAACCCATTTATTTCCCCTAAAAGGACGCCTATGGTAAGGGTTCCTACAAAGGGAACGTCAACATGACTCACATCATGGCAGTTTGGACCGTGGACAACGGACATGTGTCAAGACGAGCTGGACGCATGTGTGGATGGAAAGAGGGAACGAACAGAAGCCATCCACCGTTTGGAGGCGTTGCTTGAACGGACACATGATCAGTGTGGTAAGGGTTCCCACAGGCGAAACCATGACAACAGGACATTCAAGTTTTGACCCTGGCTTTCTTCCTGAGGGTTGTCCAAAAAGGGAGTTAAGTTGTTGTTCAAGCCTCTTCCCTTGGTGGCTCCCAGCCATCCCCTTAGCGTTTTAGCCTTTTAGTGTTTAGTGGTAGTTTCCATAAACTACCCACTAAAAGTTAAACTTTTAGCGGGGGATCTGAGAGCAGCCCAGTTCCCAGTGCTTCCAGTTCCCCTGGTTAACTGCACTGGTTACCCCAATGCTCAGTGGCTTGCCTGGACCTGGGCTGGGGCGGCCATGACCTTCCCATGCCAAAACGAGGGGATGTGTCAACGAAGGGATGTTGGGATCCAAACAAATGGTGATGTTCCTCTTGGTTTTGAAAAAACCAACCCCCAAAAGGTTACCGAGCCTCAAAAACATATACAGTCACAGTCACATACACAATGGAATGGATTTTTGAACCACCTGTTTGTTTTACCCCTCTGAAAATCGGATATCCAAAATTGGATGGCTTCCTTGGCTCCCTGAAAGAGTCCCAAAAACCTCAATGCCAGGGGGCTGAAAGGGGCCCGATTTCAACGGATGGGTCGTTTAGCTTTACCAGCCTAGGCTCCCCAGTGGTCTTTTTTGGGGGAGGGTTCCCCTACTAAAATAGACTACAGATAGAAAAGGGTACCCTTATTCTAACCTCTCTACAGGACCTACCAGCGAAATTCGTCTATTATCAACCAAAAGGACCCCCATGGATGTTTTTCACCCCTGCAGGTATCCGGCCCAGCACCTCGATCATGGCCAATGCGCTGGAGGTATCGGAGAAGATGTGCAGCAAGGACGCCTTGGAGCGCGTCGTCGACGGCTTCATGTGCGGCATGGCGACACGGAGCCGGCAAAATGTGTGGTGTCTCCCAAACGATTTATATATCTGGAGTTTCCTTCTGACCCGAAATAATAATGGGTCAAGGACCAACCATTATTTTAGGTAATGACCCCTTTTTGTTAGGGTCATGGAGACTCCAGTATATATAGTTAGGGGTTCAATTGAGGTCTCCCACAAAACGAAATTATTGTTCAGGGGTCATTGGGCTTGGCTCCCAGCCATCCCCTCTTTTTAGCTTTTCCGTGGTTATTGGGGATTTCCATAATTGAACCCACTAAAAGTTAGACTTTTAACGGGGGATCTCAGGACAGCCCAGTGGGGTCTCCTCCAACACGATTTTATGTTTTAGGGTAGAGAGGATATGAATGAACATTTACAGGACAGGGGTCCACGTCATGAACTCCAAGGGGATATTACACCATGACAAGGATGCCGTTGTTTCGAGGGGACCATGGCAACATGAGCTACAGTTTGGGGGTTGGGACCAGGGCAATGTGCGCTTTGACCAAACAAACACTCAACCAGGATCTCCACAAAGCAGGTTTGAGCGATTCAAGCCCGACATGCTGGAGCCGCCCCTTCTGGCTTCCAAGGGCACCAGAACATATGTTTTGTGACTTTTTTTTGGTCGTTCCCTGCCATGGACGGATTAGACCATTGATTTCTTTTGAGCAACCCCGGCGAGGAGGTTCGCAATGAGGAAGCGCAGGGTTTGTCTCAAACGGATTCTATCGGCCCCGTGGTCTTCACTGTCTCCTTGGTTTCTCTTTAAAAGTCAACCCCAAAACAAGATTGAGATCATAAGCCTCTTTTTGTACGGGTGTAACGGACACCCAGGAGGAAACCAGCAGCGTGCCCTGAAAACCCAGAGGATACCTAAGGAGTACATTGACCGATTTGACGTCGAGTACATGCCTAAGGGGAAGAAGAGAAGCAGGAACCGCACCACCAACCCCGCAAGAAAAGGAAGCAAGCTCCAAGAACATTTGAGCACAGGAAGCACCATCCACGGTCTGCAAGGACAACTGTCCTTAAATTTGCCTCACGACACCCCCACGCCCCCCCTTTCCTCCCCCCTTTCCTCCCCCCCCCTCCTCCCCTTCCCCCACGCCACAGACCCATCACTCACCCACCCACCTCCCTCGAAGGCTTGGATGGCACCTTCTCCGTGGAGCTGGAGGGAGGCAGGGCCACTCCCATGTTTTTCGCAGAATGATTTGGGGATGGGTCAGAATTAAAACAAACAACCAGGAATCGCGCCGCAGGTTTCAGTCCATGTTTCCATTTACCATGGGTTCATGTTTGATACCTATTGACCCACGCCCATTTGGACCCAAGCCTCCGGAGTCCTGCCACATTTGCCTTTAAGCCAAGAGGGGGAACTTCCCCCCCGTTTGAAGGCCACGCCCAAAAATATGTCCCCAACTTTGGCTTGGGCCCTACATGTAATTGGATCTGCGGGGAGTGTCTCGATCTATCTTTGTCGACATGTTCGGGCACCATCCCAAGCCCATAGTTGAAATATTTTGAATGAGACGTTTATTTCCGCCCTTGTTCCACCAACGTCTACTTTTGCTTCTGGTAAGGCGTAAGCCGTCCTAAACCACCCTAAGCCACCAACCCAACCCCACCCTAGACCCATCTTAGACCCCCAAGCCAACCCAAGCCCCTAACCCGACCCTAAACCAACCTGGACCACTCCCTAAACCCACTCTAAGCCCATCCTAAACCGACTCCCTAATCCCCGTAAACCCACCCTGCCTAAACCAACCCTTAACCCACCACTGAACCAACCCCAAGCCCACCCTAAACTAATCCTAAACCAACCCTAAAACAACCCTAAACCTACCCTAACTGCCTCTTCAGCGCTGGTTGGTTGTTGCTCCTAGTTCTTCAGCCTGAGTAAATATGCTTTGCCGTTTGCACAGAGCTACTCATTTGCATCGAGGCGAGTATTCATGATGCAGGAAACACTCTGATTGTAGCCTGGGAATGTGTGAATAGTGTGCGTAAAGAGTCTGGGTAAAGAGCTTGGGTGTGAGATGTTGGGTTATCTTAGGTCGGGTTCTTGGGCAGGGGGGGTAGAGTAGAGGCTCGGCCTTAACAGCTATGCAAGGAAAGGTTAAGCTTTTTTGGAGCAGATTCTTAACGCGCGTGAGAGAGCTCGGTAATAAGGTTCTTCCTTTAAGGCAGAGGGCGGGGTTTGTCATCGCACGGGGTTGCGACCCTCGGCGCGGAAAGTGACATGCAGACGAGCAACTTGCCCAGAGCACTCTCCCAAAGACACTTGTGCAGAGACACTTGCGCAGAGCAATAAGCACAGAGCAATGCGCGCTGAGCTATCGGCGAGCAACTTGCGTAGGGCCATAGCACAGGCAACTTGCGCAGAGCAACTTGCGCAGAACAGTTGTAGATATTTTTTCAAACATGCGCAGAGCAACACGCAGATCAAGCCGACAAAACATCGACGATGGGCCCTTTCTTCATTTTTCGTCAGTTTCCGTAGCAGCGGCTGCCAAAGAGAACGTTTAGGTCTGGGACAAGACCTTGAATTGGTGTCGCACTTTTGTGGCAAAATCTCACAACACTTCCACCAACTGCACAGTTACACGGAGCCTGAAAATGGCCTCCGTTTCGTTGTCGGTTTTTCTTTGAAGAGGCCTTCTGCAAGGCACTTTTTTCTTGTCTTCGGGATGCGTAGTTCCGATGAAGCCATTCTGTTTGTGAGGTGCTTGGCTCCTGAGGTGCCGGACAGAGGTCTAAGAGATACCGTCCCGACTGCCCTGCGCGTGGCAATGGGTGTGTGTGTGTGTAAAAATGAGGCTTTCGGGGCGCTCATTCAGTTGCCTTGCCTCCCGTCCAAGCAGAACCGGGTCTTCAAGCGCAACCCGCCTCCGTCCCATTGCCGGGTGCCGCTCCCGTGCTTGCAGACCGGCTCGCTCAAAAAAGCGCACAATGTGCAAGGGGCCACCACTTAATTTGCGCAGATGCGCATGCGAGTCGCCGTGCCACGACACCCGGAGTGAGCCAGACTGCTGAGCAACACCATGTCCTCATTTGGATGGCAAAGCTTTCTAGGCTCCCGAAGGATGCTGAGGCGCGCACCTTTTTCCACCCAATTCTGCATTTTAAACAAGTTAAGCCAGCAAGCCAGCTAGCAACCCAGCCCCGTCCGAAACCAACCGTAAAGCCAACCCCAAACCCAAACAACCCTGAAGCAAACCAACCCTAAACCCACCCTAAACCAACCCCAGCACCCTAAACCGACCCTAAACCCACCCTAAACCAACGTTGAATCCGAACCCTAAACCAACCCTAACCCCACCCCAAGCAGATCCTAAACCAAGCCTAAAGCTGACCCAGCCCTAAACCAGCTCTAAGCCCACCCAGAGCTCACCCAGAGCTCACGCTAAGCCAGCCCAAGCCAACCCTGAACAAACCCGAGCCCAACCCCAAAGCCAGCCCCTCCTGGTGTCTAAGCAAGGCCCATTCCAGGGTGTCAACGTTGGCCTGCTGCCGACCCCTGTTTCCTTTTCAGAGAAACCAAGAGCAAGTTGCGCAATGTTGTATTCCCCTAAAAGTCTCGGGCTTGGTGTGGTCAGATTCTACAAGTCATTTCTCCTTTGTGGGCACTAGAAAGCAGAAACCGGTGCCTTTTGCCTTCTGCCTCCCGTTTCCGCCAGCAAGTTCGCTGTGAAGCGAGGCCGCGTGGTGCTGCGACGGCGGCTCTTGTCACTGCAGGTGCGGTTCAAGGGCATGCGGCTCTTCAGGCGGGCAAGGGCAAACATGCCATGCGGATTGACAAAACCCACTTTGCGCCAGTGGTGTTTTTTCCCGACTATAGGGTTCTCATCCGTGTCTTTTTCCCTCGCTCAACCCATTTGGGATGGATGTTGTCCATCCACAGGTGCGTGCGACCGCAGTGATCAATTTTGGAGTACCCCCAGGCGGACTTGGATGATCCAGAGCGCCTGTTGTGGGAATCAACTACCCTTGGGTTTGAGTATCTGGGTGGAAATGGCTTCCAGGTTGCCACTTTCTGTTCCGGGATTCGAATCCCTTCAATGCAGTCACGGGATCCCACTTTGTGTTCCACAGCCATGGGTGTCCTTGGGCGGCTAGGTTGAAAGTAGATGGATTCCACTGGTTTCAGTTTGGTTCGATTTTCATTCACCTGCTATTTTCTCCAGGACACGTTGGTGGAAGCTCACTTGCCCAGAGCGAGGTGTGTCAGTTTTGGTGCACTCGTAGCGGTTTTCAAGGGGCTGCCTTTTTGTTTGGGTTACTCGGCCAAGTGAGTTGTAATTTCTGGACGTTTGTGACTGGTCGACTTGCCATTGTCGGAGATGCCAGATTCACGCTGTGTCTCAGATGCGTTTGACAAGCTCAATATTCCCCGGGTTTTTACCTTTGCGCACCTGAGGTTTGATGTTGGGTGGCACGTTCCAACTCTTTCCTGACCCCAAACAGGCCGCTTTTTGGATAGTGAACATTTGCTTTGCAGTCCACAGGGGGTTGCAACACCAGGCATCACCATGCTAAAAGTAGCTGGCAAAGGAGATGACTAACTCAACATGGAGTCGTGCCATCGACTTTTGCCAAAGCATTACTTGGCCTCGGGCCGCAGATGGCGATGTGGGCTCTGTTGTGTGTAGCACGCACATGAAAACGGTCGATGTTCAGTGTCATCTACTTTTTGTAGTACGTACGTGTAGTCAAGGGAGTCCTGCCGAATTGCCGCTAGGAAATGGATGTTACTCACCAAACCTAATGTGATGGGCAGAGACGCAATATATTGACAGTGGCTCATTTAGTCATGATTCATGTGGTTGTGAAGCCAACTCATTGCTTGATTTGGTTTGCCCGCCATAGAAGTTTTGCTTCATGTTGTGAAAGACGGATCATCATGATGTCCGTGTTGCCTGTTTTATGGCAAGCTCATCAATTTGGGGATAGAATGACAATTCCACCCGTGACGAAGGTCCTTTACTTAAAGACATGCAATTCTTGCTTCTGGGGGTTGGACATAGGGTAAAACTTGCAGAATGCAGCATCCTTGATTCGTTTCGTGTGTGTTCCAAGCAGGAGCCATGCGCCCGCGGTCGACGTGGACCAAGGAAGTAGGCGGCTTGCAGCAGTTGCACTGCAAGGAATTGGCTTGACTCAGCCCCAGAACTTAGCCAGGGCAACCATCATCCAAAGTCTAAGCCCTCTTTTCCTCTTTTTGGGCAAGGGTTCCCCTTCAAACTCCAAAAACAGCAGGGTGCCTTTTTTCCCACGGAAATCCACTGGGCATCTGAGAAGATAAAACTGACTGGTTGTTTAGGAAGCGCCAGCTTTATCTCTGGACACTTTTGGACCTGGCATGCGGATCCCGCAAATTATGGCCGCACGGGAGTTTTGTTTGAGGATACCCCCCTTTCGGTTGGTTTAAAAAGGGGAAATTAAAAGGAAACCGCTATTTAGGGCGTCCCCTAAATAAGACCCACCCATATGTCCCACTGTTCAAACCCCAGAGGTACGGCTAAGCTTAGAAACGAACGTGCGATGTGAAAAAGGAAGGGGATGCACAACAAACAATCAGTGTAAGTGGGCTACAGACAAACACAGGGATGCGGTTTTTGGGCGTTTCAGCCCAAAGTTCCCTTCTGGTGCTCTTTGAGTACCACGACTTTTTTCTTTGGTCGGATCCAGCCGGGCATCCAAGTGCGCAATTGGTCGATTGGAGCTGAGTCAGACGCGATGTCGCCCCAAGAAAGCGATCAGCTGCTTCCAGGTTTGCGACCCTAAGACGACTCATAGGGGGGTAAAGGGTTGAAAGTCACGGATCACTCTATAGCAGGCAACCAGGGCTTCTTACCTCTAGGTTTTACAAGATGCCTTCTTTTGGTTACCCACTATTCTGGCATTTGCAAGCACTGGGCTCCTTGAGCAAGCCGTCACACCAAGCACTCCCCAAAATCCTGGGCGAAGAAGCAGCTTTCCGGTCGAATTTTCTTTGAGGCTCGCTTATGGTCCGACCACGCCGGAGATTATGGAGCGCTTCCCGGCGAGGGTCGCGGGGGTGGATCTGGCGCGGAAATATCTTCTGGCGCTGCTGCCTTTCAGCGAGTCACTCGACTGCATCGAGGTCCCAAGGTAACCCATGAGCAGCTGGAGCTTTTCTGCTTGCTGGTGCGATAGGCAGGGAATGAGAAATGGAATGACCCTTATTATAAGGGGAATCCTGGGTTCATTCCCACATTCCCTACTCAGCACCAGCAAGTTTGAGGATCTCTGTAAGGTTGAGGCCTGGGGAGCATTCTTGACATTTCTTGACCCATATTAATCAACCAACCTATCTATTAATTGGGGGGGGCCCTCCAAAAGTGGCTAAATTCCAACCACTAAATCCAGGATATCCCCTTATCAATAAACTGGGGTTGATTAATATGGGGTCAACATTATGTTTGAGGGATCTCCTTGTTGTCCGGGGGGGGGGTTCGCTTGAACCCCCATTTGGAGGGTAGTTGGAGGATGTCCATCAGCCCAAAGCAACTGCTGCCTGGCAAGAATCGGCAGCCACTAGGGCAGAAATTGCCTTCCGCCCTCGAGCCTGTACGAGCGGGTGTTTCGGGTCCCTAAAGTATCCCCGAGATAGGTGTCCTTTTGGGTCGCACCCACACCCATAGTTGTTTGGGGGCTGGTTT